GATCACCGTGGAGAGGTCCCAGAAACCGCATTCAGCCTTTAGGCCATATTTATGGCCAGGCTAAATTGCGGACCCTGGCAAAAGCCATAGTAGGGCTTCAAATAACAAAAAATTTCATCCTAAAAAGAATGAGAAGTAAGGTATTTGTTTTCAAACCAGCCTAGAAATATTTACATTAAAAATATCCTGTTCAACTATACTGTGTTAAAATTGGAATAAACAGCTAATTGGTTTTTTACAAATAATGAATGCTCAGTCACTTGTCTTTAATACAATGGTCTTCTCATTTGGGTGGACTGCTTGTGGGAATGCCCTGAGTGCTATGATATTGGGTCGTAATCCAACTGAACTTGACCAAGATGTAAATTCAAAGAGAAAAAAGGTAAAGGTTCATTTTAAATAATTACTATGCACAGACATTGGTTCACACCTATCAAATTACTTCACGACATAATCAACAGCTGTGATTAATCAATAGCTTTATATGTTTAGTTTAACTCCTTGAGTCCCAAGGAACGTATCATACGTTCATAAGTTCCTAACTAGAAGCCCAATGAATGCAAGATGCGCCAATTTTACGTCTCTTTCGACTACCCCTTGGGCCTCTGATGCTAAACCCCTGGGACTCAAAGAGTTAAGAAGCAAACCTTCACAGACCACACAGACTATTTATTGTTTCCCCACAGCATCAGATGCTGTTCACACCAAAATATGAGGAACTTGAAGTGACATGGTTTGCTTATAAAGATACAGTTTTCTTTTTCTCATTTGCGCCATGAAGAAAACATGATGTACATCTTAAGTGCTTAATCAAGGAAGAGATTCAGGTGAATTATTTTAGCACTTCACAAACCCTACAGTATTATCTATTGCTGCATAAAGCTGATAACTCACTTTGTAGAAAGAAACTCACTAAACAATGCTAAGTTTTTCTTATTCAACAAACACATTTTTCGTTCTTTATGCCTCCAAACTGTACTTGTACAAAGTTTATCATGTTTATTGGTGTAAACTAATCTGTCATAGTTAATATTGTAACCATGTCTATCATTGTTCTTACTAACAAAATTTATTACTGTGAGCAATTACTATAGTAAATTATTATTATTTTTATTAGTTTTGTGTGTGTTTGTGCCTGTGTGCTACTTTTTTATTCATACATAGCGATTATGTGACTGCTTATACACATACACATGCATTTTCTGTTTTTAGACCGCCTTTTCAATAAATATGCTGAAAATATGTGAAATTAAAATAACCGTGATTTTATCTGCAAAATCCATTTTGGGGAGAGGGGGGGGGGGGTGGGGAAGCTACAAACGTTCTGAATTGTAACCCTGTTATGACCAGAGGTGGGAGGTGGGGTTAGGGAGGGGGGGTGGGGAAGCTACAAACGTTCTGAATTGTAACCCTGTTATGACCAGAGGTGGGAGGTGGGGTTAGGGAGGGGGGTGGGGAAGCTACAAACATTCTGAATTGTAACCCTGAGTTATGACCAGAGGTGGGAGGTGGGGTTGGGGAGGGGGTGGGGTTGGGGAGGGGGGTGGGGAAGCTACAAACATTCTGAATTGTAACCCTGAGTTATGACCAGAGGTGGGAGGTGGTGTTGGGGGGGGGGGGGGGGGGAACAGTAGGAACTTCCAAGACTAGTTCTCATAGTGGGTGCTACTGCTCCCTAGGGATGCTTGACTAGTTGAGGGGATGGTAGCATCATCGATCTGATTTGAGGGGTGGTGGAGAGGCCCAGGAGTGGTGGAGTGGCCCAGGGGTTGCTGGAATGGCCTAAGGGTATTAAAAGCCTAAGACTAGTCATACAGCAGCAGGGAAGACAAAGATGAAGTAGTGAACAGGAGAACAAAATTTCCTTACACCTAGAAGTCGGGGAAATAACCCCAGCAGTACAGAGCAGTGATATTCCCCTGAAGTTATTGCAGTGGCTCCAACCACACTTGTTCTTGTACATAGATATGATGCTCGAGTCTTTTAAGTCTTGCGGAACCCGTCCTTCACACCAGCAGAGTGTTATCAGCTGATGAATGTGTGGGATTATAATGTCTTTCCCACTACTGATGATCTCAATAGGAATTCCATCTCTGCCTGGGGCTTTCTCTGAAGCAATTTCATCAATAGCATTCCTAATTTATACAACTGTTGGAAATGTGTCCAGATAGTCAAGAGGTGGTAGCGTCTTTATGGCATTAAGAGCACCATCTGTTAGTTTAGTATCAACCGAATACAGCTCCAGATAATGTTCCACCCATCTATCTAGCTGTTTCTTCTTGTCGATAATCTCCTCATTCAAACTTTTTAGTGGTGCACTTTTTAAAAAATAGTTAGGCCAAAGAGCATGTTCCTTGGTGTTCTTTCCTTATTTCTGAGGATTGATAACTTTTTTGCTGTCAATTTAGGGTTGCTATTTGCTTCAGACCAGTCTGTACTTCTATGCTCTAATCCCATAGATCAACATCACTATCATAGATCTATTCATTTATATTTTTGTACAGGAATGATATTTCTTCATTTACAATAAGCAGATTCATATAAGAACATATATATATATATATATATATATATATATATATATATATATATATATATATATATATATATACATGTTTCTGCCATTAAACATCTGACATCTGTGCCTGCAGTTTAAATAGATGTGGTGCTGAAGTGGCTTCAAATTATATTCACTGCTAAGATCAAAACTACTGGCATATAAAACCTATTAAAATTTTTGCAAATATGGTTTCAAAGTGTCACAAATAGCATTAACAATTCATATCCAATGAAAATGTTCAGAAAGGTGCTAAAACAAATGATAATTATCATAGACATAAAGAGTAAACTATAATCAACTTAGAAGCACAGACAAGCTGGAGCATACTGCAAATACTAACTGGATTATGGAAGTGTATTATAAACAGTCAGCACACCAGTGGGAAATTACTTGGAATGATGGTTACTGACCCCTTCAGGATTGATGTCTGTAGGATTAACACCTCAAGGATGAGAATCAAACAGCAGCAAATACCAGAAACTCCCTTCGGCCATACAACAGTTATATTAAAGCATTCCTGGGGTTAACGCTTTGAGTCCTGAGCACCGCACGACACGCTAATCAGTAACTACCAAGGGCACCAATCGGCACCTGATGAGTTCAGGTTTTTAATTTACAAATGGCCAGTATAACAATGCAAACTGGCAGTTTGAATGGTATTTCCCATTCTTGATGTCTGATTTTCCTCTTGTCGACCACTAGGCATATTTGAAAATTTGGTTAAAACCATAAAATATAGCATGTTTTTTGGCTTTACTGAGTTGCTAAGAGTCTGTGTAAAAAACAGTTTGGCTTCTGAGCAGACTTCTTCATGCATGCCACCAAGAGAACTTTAGAAGCCTCATATATAAATAAAACATGTGTTTATCAGATTTATTTGTGATTCATTATGGAAATATTTTATCAAGTTTTCCTTGAGTGCCATGGTGGTAGGTGGAAAAATTATTAATTCTTTTTACTAATTTCTCTAAACATACCATTTGTTTATTTACTAATGAAGGGAATAGGATAATTATGCATAATTATTGGGAATCTAAGTGGTACTTTTATAGAAGAATAATAAAAAGTAATAAAATAAGACGGCATAACATAAACCTTGATCTGTTCGAGTCGTGGAGATGTATCAATGGAAGCACTAAAATACAAAACCTGCCATCTTTTTCTGTCTTCGTCTTGATGAATAAGTGTATGAAAACTTAGTCGCCCAAAAATGTAATAATATATTTTAAAAGAAATAAGCTCTAAAGGGACCTGGCTTTTCTTATCACAGAGAGTCTATATACTTTTGGATTGTCAAGAGAAGGGGAGAACTAGATAACTGTGATGGTGGGGAATGCCACGGGTAAAGAGAGGCAGCAGAAGACTAAGTCAGACTGTTTGGCATCACCGCTTGGAGAAATATTTCAGAAATGATTGTCAGTACACAGAAAAAAAGGTTCTAAACATACCTAATGACTAATAGCAAACAGTATTGACTCTAAGAAGAAAAAGACCAGATGGATTAAGGGCACAAGAAAGGACAGCAGAAAGGACATAATACTAGACTAACTGTACGTAAATATAATATGTGTATGAACTAAAAAAAAAATTTACACTCAATTCTGTATGAAGTGGAGTGCAATAACAGCTAGCAAGGCTGTATGAAGTGGAGTGCAATAACAGCTAGCAAGGCTGTATGTAGTTGAGTGCAATAACAGCTAGCGAGGCTGTATGTAGTGGAGTGCAATAACAGCTAGCAAGGCTGTATGAAGTGGAGTGCAATAACAGCTAGCAAGGCTGTATGTAGTGGAGTGCAATAACAGCTAGCAAGGCTGTATGAAGTGGAGTGCAATAACAGCTAGCAAGGCTGTATGTAGTGGAGTGCAATAACAGCTAGCAAGGCTGTATGAAGTGAAATGCAATAACAGCTAGCAAGCCAGTAAGTGAAACAGAATGTGTTGACTTAAACCGAGTTCGATTCTGATTAATGTGTCATCAGTCAAACTAGGCATAAGTCCAATTGATTTTTTCCAAGACTATTTTCGTTCAAACAGATTATAAAAATGTAAATTAAACACAGAATTCATTCTAAATATGTATAATGAGTTACGCAATATGAAAAATATAAAACAGAATCTCTATTGTACATACTGTAAACAAAAATACAATCTGAAATTGGTATATTTAGTGTGTGTGTGTGCGCGTGCACACTTGCATATAGTGTGTGTGTGTGTGTGTGTGGGTGGGTGGGTGTGTGTGTGTGTGTGTGTGTGTGTGGTTATAAGTGCAGATGATCATGAGTCATATAGGTCATAAGTCATAGAGAATTTAGCAGAAGTACTTGAAGTAGCAAAAGATGACAAACTATATAAGCTTACAGAATAGGTACAATAAACAAACACAATGTCATGTTGCACTTCAAACTGCTGCAAAAATTCCTCTGTAAATAACATAGAACCTATCATAAAACCTCATAGAACAAAGCAGGTCTATGGATTCCCAGCCGAAGGTGTAGTAAAGGAGCAAACAGTGCAGCCCCAGAGCCTACAGTAGCATAGGTTGTGAACTTGTAGGCCATCATGACTCCAGGATGGGTTTTATCTGGCTCACCCAGTCCGTATATATAGGAAAAGAATCTAATGGACCACCAGCGTGTGACAGTGTGTAAAAACCCAATAACAGCTACTCCAGTAATGAACCTCAAGAGAGACACAAAACACCACGATAAAGTGGGTACAGCAATGGAATATGGTTTTGAAATGTCTGACTCTTGCATGTATCCAAGCTGGTAACCGAGCCAGTTTCCAATAGCAAAACCTGTGTATGCAGCAACAATCTGCACAGCATCGGCTTTGGAAGAGTTCTTGTGGTGGGTTGGGTACAGCACTGTGCACATAGTCAGACCTGTAAACAGCAAGACTGGACCACTAAATGGGTGTGTCTGTTGGTACAAGTCATATCCCTCCACATAGCCCAGAAATGTGAAAAAAATTGCCAGGGCATACACAAATCCGACAAGAAGGTCCTGAAACATGGAAGTTAATGGAATGAACAGTTAATTTCTATGTAGCAGCATGGTTTTGTCAAGATAAACATAAATGTAGCTCTAATTCTTTATGTATGCATAAAACATAAAGCACAACAATCATAAATTTAAAAAATCACCAGCACTTAAAATTTGAAGAAAATAAATGTTTTGGTCTTAATGTCATCCTCCTGCTTCTTTTTTCTCCTCCACCAGTTACACCAGCGAACTGTTGCGGGGAAATGTGAGGATAATCTGAGTGCTGTGTCTAATGGGTTGTAGGAGGGCAAGTCAATAAGTAAGTCACAAATGGTTATGCTATGGCAGGAACATGTAGTTGGTGGTTTCTAAAGGTGTCATTAGGTGACAGCAACATCCAACTTTATGTCTCCATTCGTTCGGTGGGGCTAGGTGGTGCCTGGATGCTCTGAAACTGTTGATTATGTCCAATCTTGTTGTCCTGTTGAGATTGCGACAGATGTTATGGCGTGGTTAACTCAGGAGAGAATTAACCATCTAGGGTGGATACTTCCGGAACATCCACCTTTCAGCCCCGACTTAGCCCCTAGCGATTTCCACCTTTTTGGTCCACTCAAAACCCAACTTGGCAGGAGAAATTTCGCAAATGACGCAGAAGTTGAATGTGAAGTGAAAATGTGGTTTAGAAAATAGAGCACACAGTTCTATGCAGCAAGTTTGGGAGGACTGAGGAAATGATGAGAATGTTGAATGTTGAATTAAGAATCCATATCATGGCACTAGGGACACTCCCATAAGCGCTCCGTCTCCATCTTCAACAGCAAGCGAAGAGTTCCAATTCTGATGCTACACCATTAACTGTCTGATTGTATATCCATCTCGCCTTTCACCGCGCATTGAGTGTCGGCCAGATCCCCTGGTAACTCCTTGCAGCACCATTCTCCTCAGATCGTAATGATCTATCTGTGCCTCCACACAGTTCACCCTTTCCAAAAGGGTCCCCAAAACATCTAGCTTGTCATTCATCAACTCACCAAGTGGTGCAGAACCAGGAAGTCTTTCTGCCTGCTCATTTCCCAACACACCAGCATAACCTGGAGAAAACATCCAAAGGATGCTAACTACCCAGGACCTCTGAATTGATGCTTGCCACTCTGCATGGAGCGTGCCTGTCTCCATCTTGGTCAACATGCACTGTGAGTCAGTTACAATCACAGCATGTGTGTACAGATGATTCTCAAACCAGCGAAAGTCAGGAGTGACTGTCTTCACCTCCATTTTCAAACTAGATGTTGTGGTATCATATACCAGGCTTTGTTGCAGAAGCAACGTTCACATGTCTTTGCTATAGATCCCATTCACTTCATCTGCCCCTCAACACAGAGCCATCTGTATAAAAAATAAAATCACCTTGGCGGGAATTGTCATAAATCATTTTTTGAACTTCTGATTCTGCAGCGCCAGCTGGACAGTTCCTGCACTCACAAACCAAAGTGATTAAAACCCTACACAAGTCTGAAATTTACTCAGACACTCTGACCCACTCCTCTCCTTGCCAATATTTAACAAGCCTACACACATGTCCAACTGTCTTCTTAGTTCCATGATCTTCCTCTTTTCAGCTCTTTTTGGTCCTTGACCTTTAGCCCTATCCAGGGCTTCATGCAGGAGGTGCATCTTGTCTGCTGCTACTCAGAGATATAACTTTGTTTGCAGAACTTTGAGCAAGTCTACAATATTAGGTGATGCAAGTATATATTGCATGCAAACCCCTGAGGAATCTCCTTTACATCTCAGAAATGATGGAACTAGTGCATCAGTGCACAATAACCATGTTACTCTACAGAACAGTGTGAACTCTATATGCAGCCATGTAAAATCACATAACTGTATAACAACCATGTTACTCTACAGTACAGTATGAACTCCTATACAGCCATGTAAAGTCACATAATTGTGTAACAACCATGTTACTCTACAGTACAGTATGAACTCCATATACAGCCATGTAAAGTCACATAATTGTGTAACAACCATGTTACTCTACAGAACAGTATTAACTCCATATACAGCCATGTAAAGTCACATAATTGTGTAACAACCATGTTACTCTACAGTACAGTATTAACTCCATAAACAGCCACGTAAAGTCACATAATTGTCTTACTCTACAGTACAGTATGAACTCCATATACAGCCATGTAATGTAAGATAATTGTTTAACAACCATGTTACTCTACAGTACAGTATGAACTTGATATACTCGATATACAGCCATGTAAAGTCACATAATTGTTTACCAACCATGCTAAGCTACATTACTGACCAGAATGGAATGAACTCCAAGGTAAAGTCGGCTCCAACAAGTCACACAAAACCAACAAAGGGCTAGTGCTGCAGCCACAGACATTGGTACCTGAAACAAGAACCAAACATGTAAGTGGCTTCTTGAATCTGAACAAGAGCCTCTCTTTGTAATTTATGGGGCCATAAACTTTTTAGGTTTTAAAAATATAGGGGAACAGGCTCACTGCCCACTTAACTAGCATGTAACAAAAGATTACTTATTATATGACCTGTTGACATCAGATGTGTTATGCCAAAAAGTGCAAATATCGTAGCACACATGTACATGAGAGTACAATATTCAAAACACCAGTTAAAGGGTGGACACAAAAGATGATGAAGAAGAAGGAGAAGAAAAAGAAGGAGGAGCAGCAGCAGCAGGAGGAATGGGAGGAGGAGAAAAAGAAGAAGAAGAAGAAAAATTAAAAGGAAGAAGGAGCAGGAGCAGGATGAAAAAGATAAGGGAAAAAAAGAAGTAAAAGAAGAAGAAGAAGAAGAGAAAGAAGAAGAAGAAAAAGATGCAGAAGAAAAAGATGCAGAAAAAGAAGAAGAAGAAGAAGAACAATAAGAAGAAGAAGAAGAAGAAGAGGAAGAAGAAGAAGGAAGAAGAGGAGAAGAAGAAAAAGGAGAAGATAAAGAAGAAGAAGAAAAAGAAGAAGAAGAAGAAAAAAAAGGGAGAAGAATGAAGAAGAAGAAGAAGAAGAAGAAGAAGAAGAAGAAGAAGAAGAAGAAGAAGAAGAAGAAGAAGACGAAGAAGAAGAAAAAGAAGAAGAACTAAGAAGAAGAAGACGAAGAAGAAGAAGAAAAAGAAAAAGAAGAAAAAAAAGAAAAAAAAAGAAGAAAAAGAAAAAAAAAGAAGAAAAGGAGGAGGAAGAAGAAGAAGAATTTAGAAGAAGAATGGTGAATGTCGAACAGCAACATCGAACGTTATATCTCCATTCGCTAAGTCTCAATCTGTCCTGCAGCAGCACAATATTTGTGTACGACAATGTGGTTAACGCTTTTCAAACTATTTGAGAAGGAGGAGGAGGCGGAGGAGGAGGAGGAGGAGGAAGAGAAGAAGAAAAATAAAAATAAAAGATGAAAAAGAAGAAGAAGAAGATGAAGAAGGAAGAGAAGAAGGAGGAAGAGGAGGAAGATACTATGGTTTCAGAGGGACTGGCAATAGAAAATGACTGACGAAAAAAATAGACATGTGAATCTTTCTGGCCACATTAGAAGACATAACACTTATAAAAAGCACAATGTAGAGAAAAGGGGAAGGTAAGTGAGAAAGAGATAGACAGTGTCAGAGATGTGAGGATAACATCAAGATACGGGTGGACAGCTATTTCGGAAGGTGTACAACCAGGACTAGACATAAAGTGTGCACCATCTACTGTAGCCAACCTTTAATGTGGAGATTGTACACGAACCTGGCTGGTTCAGAGATGACTGACTAAAGATCAACACCACCAGGACATCACACCCAGCGATACACACCCAGTGACACAAAAAGCCACCATCTGAATGAGGATCATCAGGGGACAGGTCCCAGAAACCCTGTTCAACCCATAGGTTGGGTTATATTAGGGTCCGGTGTCAGACAGGGTGGGGCTTCAAACAACAACAAATTGTGTCAGCCATTTAGACGCAGTTCGTTATGGACCTGATTAGGTTTAGGTTTAGATGCCGGATCAACGTCATGGCACAAAGGTAGTAACCCATAAGTGCTCCGTTCTACTTCTAACTCAAGCATGAGTCCATAAAAAAATCTCAGTGCAGTGCACGAACTCTGTAGCACCGGCGAGGATCCATAAAATACTTTGGGTAGATTTTAAACTCCAAATTTTATCAGGACAGAGCTACTCTTTTCGATTTCCAACTGACAAGGGATTTTTTACGTGTGCAACAATACACACGGGCTTCCGATCTTACTACCAAGAGACCACGGAAAATTACCAAAAGTCCATGTGAAAAAAACCCAGCCTTCACCACGGCTTGAACCCGCTTCCTCTAGCACTCGAGGCGTATGCCATCTGCCGTTAGAGATGTAGGACCACTTATGCTGTCCGGTTTAGCGCCTCTACCAAAGTCACAGCCTCACAGAAGTCAACCCCTGCCCATCTCTCAAGATGAGTGGAAGCCACCTCACTTCATAATAATCTGATCAAACACGAACTGATCTCCTTTCCATTTCTTAGCTCCATTAGAAGTATTTTCAGGGGGGATAATCTAAAACACATCCACATGTAATTGTCTCCCTGTCTCTCCCCGTCTTTCACTTTCTCTTTGAATAAACTTATAACAGTTTACAAGAGGTGGTAAGCAAGTGTTGCCTTCAGTATGAATGAATCAATGCACATAGCTAGAAGAAAGTGAAAACTTTTGCTATGTATGTAACTTATTTCCCCCCGCCGTCCTTTTTCGAAGAGATCTACTTCTCCAGTCTCTACTTCACCCTCCTGATATCATAGTCTGGGGGCAGAGTCATCTCTCCAGCCCCATCATGTCCAAGTCATTTAAAAGAAAATATCCATGAGACAGATTCTTAATATGAGAAGCAGAAAGAAGTGCTAAGTCTGGCGGGATTGGTGGTTGCCACTTGAATAACAGGACTATCAAGCTAATCCAGTCATCTCCTTGTGAGATGCAATTTTTCGTTATTTGAAGCCTTACTCTGGCTCTTGCCAGGGGCCGCAAGAGAGCCTGACCATAAATATGGTCTAATGGCTGAACACGGTTTCTGGGACCTCTCCACGGTGATCCTCATCCACATGGTGGCACTTTATGTCTTCGGGTGTTTATCATATGTGTGATGTCCTAGTGGGGTACAAATCTACTACTACTACTACTAATAACAAGACTTGACTGCTGACCCTAAGACAGAGTTCTGTGTCCAAAAGGATGAAACAGTGCATTAGGACACGAAGAAAACATGAAAACAATTACAATACTTATGAAAATTTATTATTCAGTAAGGATTTTACAATTACCAGGTAGGTGCTATGCTAATTCTTACTAAAGTGCAAAACATTAGGTCCCTCAACCTCTTTTACTGCTGAGTATAGATTGATTATTATCTGCATAATGCATACAAGATTTAAAACAACCATTACTGAGTTCAAATACTTTTTCACCCTTATCTTCGAAACTGATCTGTTCAAGCAACCTTCTGGTTAAACAGGATCAAAGGTTGTCAAAGTAATGTTACACAGGACAGATGTTCATGTCACAGACCATTTGATAAGAAGGTTTGTGAACCTGATGTTGTTTTCACCAGAATTTTTTTTTTTAATAAGTCAGGAATCTTTTAAAACTAAGTTTATGTGATGCAGAAAATGAATGAAGTGGTCTTTAAAAAAAAGAAGAAATAGTGCAACTCATAATATAGTAGACAAATTAGACGTAGGTAAAAAACAAAAAAACTACATGGAACAGTGGATAACTAGTAAAAAACATGATGGAATAAAGCAGTAACAGGGAGACAAAAACTAACAAAAATGTGGACAAATAATAAAAAGACAAGACAAGAACACAGACATGATCAAATATTCTGGCTGTCAAAAAACAGAAGCATGAATACATATGTTTGCTGGCTTAGCACATTCTAATGACTATAAGAACTAGAGATTGTGGGAAAGTAGAGATTTCCATAACATCACAGTCAAGATAACACATCACGAAGACCAAGCTAAAGGAAATTAACACATCAAGAAGACCTAGCTAAAGGAAATTAACACATCAAGAAGACCTAGCTAAAGGAAATTAACACATTAAGAAGACCTAGCCAAAGGAAATTAACACATCAAGAAGTTCTTCATGCCATTTCAATGGGTTAAAATGAATTCTGTCCGTATTCCATAGTCGTGGATTTCAAGCTGTACGATAGACATGGCCAATGAGACACCTTTTTTCGGGGGTGCCTAGTTGACCATGTATCTTAGTGCACTTGTATTCATGGCGAGGCGCAGACGCCGTCTGGAGGTGACAGGTTCAATTCCCGGCACGGTAACTATAGCTTTCGATATTTATGTTGTCTAGTGTGTTCTTCTATCTTTCTACTTCTTTCTATGAGTGCCGTTCACAATACTTTCTGTTACTTGATTAATTCATTTTGTTGTTGTTGTTGCTGTATATTAGGTGAGGCTGCTTCGATGGAGCACCACTTTATGTCATTCATCTGAAATCATATAAATTGTGAAGACATGTATTTTCTTGGCATTGCGATGAATGTAGTTTTCAATTGATTTTCTCCTTGATAGTGACCATACTGGCTGGGTGGTCGTAGTCATGCAGAACTGATTATTCAGTATAGATGGTAGCTGGTTTACACATCAGCTGGTGAAATACCTTATATCAGTGATTTCCAAAATTTTTGCCGTGGCGGCCCAGGAATCCGCGACCTCTTCACAGGGGCGCCGCGAAATATTCGAAGATCCACACATTTTATTTGTTTTGATCTCTTACATACGAATAGTCATACTTTTACTTAGGTTAGGGCGCCGTAGACACATTTTTAATTGAAAAAAGGCACTGCGACTAAGAAACCTTTGAGAAACACTGCTTTAAGTAGTAATTTTGCATATGTATGGCCAACTGATTGTGACCAACTACTTCCATCAATGACAAACTGCACTTCTAGTTCCGAATGTTGGCTCTGGCGTCTCATGACTGTGCCGGGACTAACCGTTCGCCAGCTTTTCAAAAAAGACTGTGATTGCGATTTTATTTGAATACTTGCACTCGAATGAAGCATGTATGGGGTGACTGGAATGTGATAAAGTGGAAACCACTACTACTACTATTTTCTTTGACTACAGAAAAAAAAAAGACATGATATATTTGCTTTTTTATATTTGTCTTTGACTACACAACACATACACTTGATATGCTCTCATAGTTTTTATATATGTATATGTATTGTTACCTACCTGATATCTCTCAATGGCCAGGTAAGCCAGATAAAGAGGAATCGCTGTGCCAGACATGGCATGGGTAGATGGCATTGCATATTCCCGTGAGTAATGTATTTCCAACCTGACAACTGGAGGGCAGACAGGTCGAGGCCAGCGAAGGTAATCTTTGGTGGCTTGGCCAAGATACATCACCACACACCATAGCATAGACACCTGTTTGACACACAGATGCAACTGTAAAGTATTACGAGGGAAGGTCAATAACTGAGTAAGTCACAAGTAGAAATGGGATGGCAGGAAAATGAAGTTGGTGGTTTTTTAAAGGTGAGGGAGCGGAGTGAGTGGAGGAACAGGGCAAGCGCTCGCATGTGCACACACACACACACACACACACACACACACAAATATATATATATATATATATATATATATATATGCAAATTGTGTGTCTGAGTGCGTGCGTGCTTGTGTGGGTGAATGCGCCAGTGAGATAGAGAGAGTGTATGTGTGTGTGTGCACATGCGAGCGCATATATATATATAATGGCGCGCACACACACACGCACCAACGTACCCAAACCCGCACGCACACACTCACACGCACATACACGAAGGATAGAGAGGGGAGAGAGAGACAGAGAGAGAGAGAGAGAGACGGAGAGAGAGAGAGAGAGAGAGAGATACCAGTAAAAGAAAAAAAAAATATTAGGACGCAGAAGTTACTGAGTTGATTGTGGCTAAAGCAAACACTGAAGATCTCCTGGATGAGTGTCTGAGAGATATGTGGAAGCTTGGCCTGTGTAAACGCATATGTGTATCTAGTTGGGTCAATAGTAATAGGAATGTTAATTAACTAGCTATGGTTGTATTTATAACAGATAGATAGATACAATGGTAGATGGTCGCCACACAGCATATGGAAGCGGAGTGGCTAGCGCGTTGGTCTATCCGCCATGATTCGAAAAGGATTTCTTTACAAACTCTTTATACCAGTTTTTTCCCCCAGGAGTGAGAAACAAACAGGCAGATAGACTGGCTGATTCCGTACCACTTGTTGGTGGATTGATGCATAATAAGCAGATGCTTATTTTGACGCGAGTGAACAGTACAAAGGCACAAACAGATAAATGTGGTCCGAAGAGAATTATGCAGTTGCCAACATTTGGCCGACATTCAAACCTCACAGGTAAGGCAAGACAGAACGAACGAACTTTATTTTCAAATTGGGCAATACACAATCAGCTGTTACTAGAACTCTGGAACTGGAACTCTGCGCTTGCTTCTGAAGAGAGGGCGAATGGGGGGGGGGGGGGGCGCAGCGTTTATGGGATGTATCAAGGGCGGTGATGCCAATTCTTCATTACCATTTAATATTAAACTGTTGAAGATGCAGAGATGCTAAAATACGTGGTAGTTCAACAGGACCAGGGTTTAAACTAGTCACGACACATCAGCTCCTCCTTGCTGTCATCCTTGAAACATGTTGCCAGCAGGGTGCCTGGCCAGTTTAGATAGGATCAGCGTTTTCTTCGAAGTCGAAGTGCATCTTCATGAGAGGCAAAGAACTTACATTCGGCACTTAAATAGGTCAGCTATGTAAAACGGGTGTGCACGGTACACTTAAGACCTGCAACAAGACCAATGTACAGAAGTGGACAAACAACCGGAACTTTTTTCCCTCGGAATTTGCAGCCTGTCAACGGACGCGAGAAAGACGATATCATACGACCTGGCTTTGAAAATTTGGCCCTTGTGTTGTTTATGTTCTTCCAGATTATGTGTTGGTCACATGACCTAAAATATATGTCAGCAGGAATCACCGCCTGTAGCAATCGGGTCAGGAAAGTCGCTTTAACTCTTTCGTTTCTTGAAAGTTTCACAAGAGATTCCAAAATTAGAAAGAAAAAGGATAATAAAAGTACTTACGAAAAATAGCGAATGCATTACTTTCATAGTGGCAATATACACAGCGCTAGTGGAATAGCCAGATTGCACTAGCGTGTTCCGACCAAGACATGAAAAATAAGAAGGCACATTATGCTATGGAGGGGAATAAAGAAGGATTCAATAACATGCCAGGCGCTGTTTGGGCTGACATATTTCAGTTATTATATTAAACTGGTGTTATCCAACTGCGGAGGTCACCATGGAAAAACAGCAGCATACTTGTTTTCTGTCGAAATTCGGAGCTGGAATAAAAATTGAATGTATCTCAATGTACTGTAAACAGTCCTTCACAGTTTATTGTTTCGTGTGTGTGTGTGTGTTTTTTTAATTTTAAATTTTAAGTTGAAGTTAAAGGTACAGTCGAGAAGATCGACTTTTTTGCAAAGGGTTTTTATCTTGTTCTCTCTCTCTCTAGATAGGCTAGCCGCCTGTCAAAAGCGTCGGATAAAGCATGAACTCTGTAGCTCATGTGACGATCCCCAGGGATCTATAAAAATTGCACTCAAGATATGAAAAGGGAAGCCCTGAAACGAGCCCAAGAACGTCAGAAAGCGAGGCGAACGGCTTGACCGCTTGGTTACGGAGATGCCCAGTTTTCTACTTACCGTGAGATGTGAAATCTGTGAAATAAATCAGGGCGATTTGGTTTATAAAAGTTGTCTTTACAGTATCGTCTTATTGAAAAAAAAAAAGATAAAAAAAGGGTGGGGGGGGGGGCATAAAGCATATGTCCGTATATAGGACGTCACCCGTAGCCTGAAGAATACTGCTTTACAGTTTGTTGCCATTACCTCTGACTGTCACCTTCGATATCATTGTTGAAATCCAAGTTAAGCGGTCTGCTGTCAAACTGCCTGCAGTTGGACTCGAACCGTGTAACCCAGAATTACGAAAGACGTTGGCAACACCTTAGACACAGACACCTACAAATGCACTTTGTTCACACATTTCGTGGTTTTTCAAGTACATCACTTCTTATGTGCAATTCAGCACACACACACACAAAACAATTTTTATTCGGCATATATTTCAGCAATGCACTCAGAATGGACAAGACAAGACTCCCTCATCCAGTCCTCAAATTAACACCGAAAGGGAAAAAGAAAACAGGGAAAACCTTACATAGAACCATCATCAGGGAAGGCTCAATCGTGGACTTAAAATCCGAGACCTGAAGCAGGTGGCAACGAACCGTCAGACACGAAGAGCTGTGACCTCCGCCCTATTCGCTGCCTTAGACTCAAGAGGAAAGACTGACTGACTGATTAACTATGTTACTAACTAACTAAGCAACTAACTAAATAACTGACTGACCGACCGACCGACCGACTGACTGACTGACTAACTAGCTAACATACTGACTGACTAACAAACAAACTAGCTAACTAACTAACTAACTAACTAGCTAACTAACTAGCTAACTAACTAACTAACTAACTAACCAGCTAACTAACTAACTAGCTAACTAACTAACTTACTATCTAATTAACTAACTCACTAACTAGCTAACTAACTAAGCAGTTAACTAACTAATGAACCAAGTAACTAACTAATAACTAACTAACTAACTAACTAACTAACTAACTAACTAACTAACTAACTAACTAACTAACTAACTAACTAACTAACTAACTAACTAACTAACTAACTAACTAACTAACTAACCAGCTAATTAACTAACTAGCTAACTAACTAAGTAACTAACTAACCAGCTAACTAACTAATGAACCAAGTTACTAACTACATAATTAACTAACTGGCTAGCTTACTAGGTAACTAACTAACTAACTAACTAACTAACTAACCAGCTAACTAACTAATGAACCAAGTTACTAACTAGATAATTAACTAACTAGCTAGCTTACTAGGTAACTAATTAACTAACTAACTACTTAACTGGTTTCAAGCTCCCGCTGAAACTTTGGGGCAGGGGATTAAAATATGCTTTGTGTATGTGTGTGGGTGGGTGTGTGTGCGTACGTGCGTGCGTGTGTGAATACTTTCAATGACAGTGTTCTCAGCGCTTTCAGAAACGGATGGCCACAGCATTGAAATAGCTTGGTGACTAAAATTAATTATGACTAAACTGACAGTTCCGATAACGTACTGGTTAGACCAGTCTTTCCAACAGTGGCCGTTCCCGTCCAATCAGCAGTGCCGGGGCAGTTAAAGGAGAGGTAGCTTCGTCAGTAAAATGTGGGGCGAAGAAATTCTCAGGGTGTGAAGAGAACCTTAGGTGCATGTAGGGGCAATGACCACACACACATCAATGATGGAAAATAAACGAAGTAGAGAACAGTAGAATAACATTTTCTTTCACACTACCGGACAAAGCTGGCAGTTAAATCTGGTCATTTTATAACACGAAGAACACCTTCTGTGTAAAATGTACTGTAGCCAGATTTCATTTACAGCAACGCACAATAGGCTATTTTTACTCCTGTATCCTGGCATGTTCAGTTAACAAGAATTTATAAAAACGATAAACAAACCTGTGTGGTGTAAAGTCCTAGTCAAGGCAATTATAAACCAATAAAGGAACTGTTCAACAGCGTTTAAGGGGTGCAAATACCATTGAAGCTAAGAATCATTATGCTAGGATTAATTAGGGTCTCCGGAGACAGTGAACATCCGTAACCTCCCAATGACTTACACGTAGAACATCCAGGGCTTTAGGTGGTTTATAGTGGGGCACTAAGACAGCCAGGTCTGGGTTAGTTCGACGTTAGTCTCCCCAGACCCCGCCCACATACACACTAGCTCACTTCTCATTGGTAGTTCCTGAGCTCTGTGACATTTACACACGGTTACGGATGTTCAGCAATGTCGTTGATATCCCGTGTTGTAAATTTTAGCAACCCAGCGCTTTTTAAAATCCAAAAACATAGAGAAACTGGGTCTAACACACCCCCACCCCCTCTCCCAGATAATGCTGCAACCTATGTCACAGGCATTCTCTTTCTCGGAATGGAAACGTAAATGCAAGACATCGCAGAAACAAAACAAAAAACAAACAAAAAACAGAGCGGGACACACCCGTAACCTTCAGGAAAGTCGACCAGCCCCACAAACTTGTGAAAATAAGTGATCTAATCTATTTGGGGAGACTAACGTCGAACTAACCCAGGTCTAAATCTAACCAGAGAGAGGGGGAGAGAGAGAGAGAGAAAGAGAGAGAGAGAGAGAGAGAGAGAGAGAGAGAGAGAGAGAGAGAGAGAGAGAGAGTTGGGGAGGAGGGGGGGGGGGTAAAATTATCTCTAAACTGCA